GTTAATGCTTTTGGGTTCCCGGAGACACAGGAAGCATCTGAGGTTCATCTTAGTCTGAGGAGGAAGTGCTGAACCCTGGTAACTCTCTGAGAAACCAGTGGGGAATGAGTCTAAAATCGATTTTGTCTTGCCTTGTTTTTGTGGAAGGAGGAACCACATCCTAGGACCTTGCTGTGTGCACAGAGGCTAAGTTAGGCCCTGCATTGTGAATAGATGTGAGTTGTGCCCTGACTCTGAACCTGCAATGACCCACCTACATTGGTCACAATTCCATCTGAGGGGTCACTGACTCTCTAGGCTGTTTCTGCACCCAACATTGAAGGTGATTTTGGTTTGTGATTATAATCAGCCCGTGACAAACGTTGTGTGTGGATCTTGGCTACTGTATCTGGTGCTGCGTGAACATGCCTATAATCACCTCCACTAGTTAATGCTTTTGGGTTCCAGGAGACACAGGAAGCACCTGAGGTTCATCTTAGTCTGAGGAGGAAGTGTTGAGCCCTGGTAACTCTCTGAGAAGCCAGTGGGGAGTGAGGGTCAGTGAGGGTCAGACTCACAAATAAGCACCGTCACGGACTTGGACACTCCTCACTCGGTGAGCACTGGACCCTGCGTCACCCACCTGATCTCCCTCAGATTGGGACAGGTCTTCAGCTCTGATTCCTCCTCATGAATATCAACATCAACCAAGGTACACTGAGTTAATACAGACAAATGTGTTCCCTGAGAACAGGTTACAACAGTACGACCCTCCTACCTACCCCAGAGACCCACCCCACAAACCTCCTACACGAACCCGAACCTGGGACGGGCCTATATGATTACCTCCCATAAGAACGGCTCTTGGTGAAGGTCTCCTGTCCTGGCTGAAGGGACTAGGGCCATCAGGGGACTCCCACGCCCCATGTCCCCTCACAGGGGAGCACCCTCAGGCGCACCAGGCACTCTGGGCATCTGAGAGGTTCTCTGAGGTATCCTGGTCTCTCTGCAGGGATCTCTGTGCACGTGTGGACTCAGCCCAGACCCGGTGTGTGGACGGGACAGACCCCCTGATGACGGGAACCCGGTCAGCACAATAGTGGCCGGGCAGCGTCCCCCTGACCGGACACGACTCAGCGCAGCCCACACAGTGCTGCGTGTCTGGGGTCTCGGGACGGGCCAGGGGGCCCCCACGCACGGGACACCCGTGGGGAGGTGGGACAGTGACCACCGAACTCCCCCCGAGGACACTCCCATTGGGTCGGAGGGAGGCCGGCTCGGGTGACCATTAGGGAGAAGGACCTGGAGCGTCAGGGCTCCAGGGAGCACCTCAGGATGAGCCTGATCCAGAAGCGGGTCCGGGTCCAGCTCGGCCAGGTGGGGGAGGCCACGGGAAGCGCTGGCCATGGGGCCCCGTGGCCCCGCATGGACACAGGAAGCCCCGAGACAGGCTCGAGCGGACACCGGCTCCTGCTGACCCGTCCAGCCGCGGCGCCTGACTTGGGCTGTCCGGGAGCACCGGGCCCTGAGAGGGTCGGTTGGAATGGGCAGGAGGGCCGGGGCTGCGCTGCCCGACCTTTGCCCCCTCACCCTGAAACAGCTCCTCAGGGCCAGCATAGGGGTGGTGGTTGCAGAACCTTCCAGGGCTCCTGCACCAGGTACCGGCTGCTCCCCCTCTACCCTTCCCCCACAGCTCGCCCCCCCTCTCTCCCTCTCCCTCCCTTCCTCTCTCTCTCTCCCTCTCACTCCCTCTCTCCCTCCTTCTTCATTGTGTCCTGCCCTCCCTCCTCTCCATTGGCCCCTGTAGCTTCTCTGAGAAACTGAGGTGTGGGTGCTAGGCACTGGGGCTCAACTGAGGCGTCGTCTCCGCTGGTGCTTTCCTCCATTCCTCCTCCCCGCGGGAGACCCCGGCCGCCGTATGTTCTCTCTGCGCCCCTCTGCCCGCATGGGGAGTTCTGCTCTGCTGTGGCTTTCTGGAAGGCACCAGAGCAGGGCCTGGACCAGCAGCTCTTGCGACTGGAGAGTCTCGGGGGCAGGACGTGTTTGGACTGGCCGCCCTCCCGGACCATAACCCATGATCCCAAAATAAGGAGGAAGTTACATGGTCCCTGTATTTGTCTCCCCATCCCGCTTTCTATGGTCCTTGCTCTGCTGCCCTCTCCCTGGATGGATGGACTGAGCAGAATGGGCGCTCTCACTTCAGACAGCAAGACAGATGTTGGGCGCAGGGACATGAGTCCTGTGCAGCCACTTCGTGCTCTGGGCATGTTCAGATTCATCCTGCTGCTCCTCTACTGATTCCCCATTGTAAGGGCTGGGAGTGTGTGCCTGCATGGGGTATTAACCCATGGTCTCATCAGATCTCTTCTGTCTGTCCCTGCATATGAGGGGCTCCATCCTCCCCAAAACTGGCCCAAATTGGGACCTCATTGGTCTCAGAGATTGGCGTCATTCAGTGAATTATCTCCATGGTATATTGAGTGGATCAGCTCTGTGGAACTTGCCAGGGACCAGGAGACTTGGCTGCTGCTTCTGAGTTAACACACGGGTATAAACATTCTGAGGTATTCCAGGGCTGATCAATTTGGGAGGAAGTCTGGGCCCTAACAGGGTACTGAGCCCTTGGGCAACATCAGGGAAGGAGGGTATGGAGCAGGATGCAGGGTCAGAGCTCCTTTCCAGCAGGCCCCTCAGCTTCCCTCATGCCATCTCTGTCCCAAGTTCCCAGCAATATCCAGAACTCTCCCTCTTCTTCCGCCTGTCACATCTGCTTCTGAAAAAAGAAAGCTTTGTGTAACACCCATACTTAAGAAAAACATACATTGTGTGGGATCTTTAACCAATGGTTTCAGAGCACCTACTTAAATCTCAATCTGGACCGATAAGTAAAAAATATATATATATATCTACACTCTGGGAACCTGGACTGACATGAGAAACAGAAATGCCATTAGCAAAACTTTCAGTAGAAGAAATGAAAATCTCAATCATGTTCATTAGAGTAACAACGGAAAACAGAATCAATAACCTTGAGGATAAGCTGCAGAAAATCTCCAGTCAACAAAGAAAGTTGGGAAAACACCTCAAAAAACTCAAGGGTAAAACAGAGTTTGATTTAAGAGAAGCAGTGTAAGAACCCTCAGAGTCACAAAAGGATAAGCAAGTAAGTACAATGAGGTAATAACAGTTAAGGACATCATTGTTGAAAAGTTCCCAGAGCTGGGAAACATAGACATTCACATCCAAAATGTACCAGCTAAAATAAACCCTAATAACAGACTCCAAGACATATTCTAAATAGAAGGACCAACACCATAAACAGAGAAAAATACTGAAATCTGCAAGATCAAAGAAGGAAATTTCATACAAAGGAGTGTCCTTAAATTTACAGCAGACCTATCAAATTGATGTAGGCAAGCAGATAGGGAAGGCCCTTTCCCAAGGCAATGGCAGTAAATCTCCTGGGAAGTAATAGCCCTGGAAGAACTGGTGCCTGTCTATAACAGACCCTGAGGAGGCTGGACCAACCCCCTCCAACAGAAACACCTGCAGAAACCAAAGTTAGGAAAGGAATTTCAAAAAATACCATCACCATTCCCAAGTCCCTGGGAACCTCCCTAGCAACGGACTTTTACATATGTAGAAGCCCCACATGGGGGCAGGTTGGAGAAATCCTATAAAGGTCACCTTGAACAAAGTAAGCACGCACAAATGCTGCCCGAGCTCATGTGCTTCCTGCTTCCATGTGGCCGAGCATATGAGGTGCCTGAGCACATGTGTCATCCGCATCTCCCCTCTTGAGATGTGTACTTTCATGTTTTCATGTCTATTGCTGGGATGTGTGTAGGGGCTCTCTCTTGAGCAGGATACTCTCCACTCTCTCCACTTTCTCTCCCTCCTTCTGTTTAAAACCTCCAAATAAAAACTGTCATTTCACAAAATATGAGATTAATACCCAAGAATAGCTGAGGTCAACACCAGGAGGATTACTCCATAGCTTAGAGGCCAGCCAGGCATTCTAGGGGAAAGGGCAGCTCAGATAGAGAAGGGAGCACCAAATAAAGGGTGTTTGGAGGATCCTCCCAGGAGGGGAGATGCATGTTGAAAGTAGACTATGGACTTAACATGTTTGCCACTCAAAGCCTCTTTTGCAGAGCACAACACTCAGAAGGAGAGAGAGAACACAGGGGATTGCCCTGCCACAGAGGCAGGGTGAGATGGGAGGGATGGGGGTGGGAGGGATATTATCCATCGTGGTGGAAAATGGGCACTGGTGGAGGGATGGGTATTTGATCATTGTATAATCGAAACCCAAGCACAAAAAATTGTAGATCTACAACTGTACCTCATGGTGTCTCACTAAAAATTAAAAAAAAATTATAATAAAAAAACTGTCATTTCACTGCTCGTCTACTCCTGAAATTTCTTTATTCGAGTGAGACAAGAACCCAGTAACCCTGGGTCCTGGGTGGCAGAGACGGATGGGGAAAACAGACCATCTTTCTCCTGCCCGCTTCACATAAGTCACCCATAGGGCACACCGACATCAAAATGAATCCTCTGGGTACAAGAAATATGGTAGTATATAGTATAAAAATATCATAGCAAAATGGAGCATCACCAAGAATACTTTATCCAGTACTTTCATTCACATTTAAAAGAAATATACAGAGGCGCAGTCATGGGCGGTGAGGTTGGTGGTGCTGCAGAATCACTTAGGGGATGTAGAGTCGGTGGGGCTGACTGCAGCTCTGGGGGGTGGCGAGTAGGGGGAGGTAGTCGGATGGTGGGAGAAGAAGGCGGTGGCGAATCACTTATAAATGTCGTTCGGACTTTCACTAGATACCACATATCCCAGCCTGTATTTAAGGATATTGATTATTTCTGTGTCAGAAATGCTCCAGGTCAATGAATCAATCTCCCATTATAATGGACTGCCAGAGAAACTGATTCTTACCTCATAATTTGTTTCTTTTCTATATTTGCGTCTCTTGTACTGATCCTTTGCTCTCCCTTTGCAGGGCTTCACCTATCCGGCCCTTTCTCTGTAACTCAGACTTACTCTAAGGTCTCTGTGAGCTGTGACGTGACTCGGCATGAGATGACTCCACGTGGAGGCAGGAAGGATTCCCTTCTCCATGGGGCTGTCTCTGAACACACCTCCCTATGGAAACTGGTGTGAATCAAGCCGGACTCATTTCCAAGTGTTCACACTTCCTGTATCCGATGGTGCTGAGGACACACTTCCTCTATTCACTCTTAGAACTCTGCAGAACCCACCCCCCCAGACCAAAGGAGGGGCTGCAGGGGCTCTGACGACCACCAGTGGGCACTAGAGAGACACTTCAGAAAAGGCCTCAGAACCACAAGGGGGCAAAGAGGGTCACCATGTGCTAGAAGCCCACAGGGGCCAATATTCTGTCACAGCACAGAGACACTCAGCTACCAACACCCACACCCACTTCCATCCATGCCCAGTTCCAGCATCTTTCCTAGAACCCTTCCTTGTCACTCCCAGAGAATCTCCACTTCTAGTGACACCCTCACACTCCCAACTCCCTCCCTATGCTCTGTCCTCCCTCTCCCCCACACAACTCCCCACCCGGGCCCCAGGACTCCAACACCTGGCAGAGTGAGTATTAATTGGTACTTTCTTGTTTATCATTATTTTCATAGCTTTCTCTTTGATACTTACGAAGACGTAGAACAGCTTTTCCTCATTTTTCTCCCTCCTTCTAGCTCGTGTGACCTATTTTAAAGACCCAGGACTGAGAGTTATACATGACTCCTTTAGTCATGAGTAAAACCCATAATATATCCCTATAGTGGGAAGCTCTTGAGAGTGAATCTCCGTCATCGCACTCTACACACACTTACACAAACAGGAGGCACTGCAGAGAGCATGAGGGAGGGGTGAGACGTGGGGGGAAGAATAGCATGGGCCAAGGGGATACACTGGGGTGAGGGGTTCATTCACTGTTTTGGTGTGATGATCAACTACAGAGATTTCAATTTATTTCAGTGCTCATAATTTTAATGATCTATAAGTCAGTATTCTGTGTAGAACATGACCTTCTGTGATTTTTTACTGCTAATCAAATATTGACATGGTAAGAAGGAGACGTGGGGGTAGGGCTGATGTGAAGAGTCACACCCCATGCACCTCCATGCACACTAGTTACCAACATCCTCCTCCAGGTAAACGCAAAATTCAGAATAAATACAATTTGTTCTCATTACAGGGAAGAAGTTCTTGACAGCTGCTAGCCCATATTTTGTTTAGTATTATTTGTGAGTGTTTGTCTGGTTTGGGGGCTATACCTGGCAATGATCAGGGATTACTCCTGACTCTGCGCTCAGCAGTTACTATTGAAATTCCCGGGGGAAGCATATGGGATACTAGAGTTCAAACCTGGGTGAGCCTTGTGCAAGGCAAGCGCCCCGCCACTGTGCTATCCTTCAGCCCCAGTTGCTTTGGATTTGTTATTGTGCCACTCTGGGTATAATGCTGGCTCTGTGCACAGGGGTCACTCTTGGTGGGGGCATGGGACACCATATGAAGTGCAGGGAATGAACCTTGATCTGCCACATCCAAGGAAAGCAGCTTATCCCTTTGCTGTCTCTACATCTCTTGTTACTGGACACCAATCTTGGTGGACAGGGACAAACCATGGGATGCAGTGAGTATTTTAAACACAGACTTAAGAGAGAAGGGGTGGGGGTCAAGGGACTAACATGCTCATGGACCGAGAGCTCCTAAAGCCCAACACAATGAGAGTTTTCACTTAGACCAAGGAATCATCAGAAGAACGACATTCTTAGGTCAGCTACCTGACTTAGTCTATATGAGCTAAGATTTTACACATTCGAGGGCCTTTGATATAAGGACAAACATGTTTAACCTCGGAGATATTTCCTCTGGGAGAAACAGCAGAGACACAGCAGACACAGGATCCTGACTCAGGTTTCCCAGATATCAGGGCTACGCTATCTGGCCATTCTGCCTTAGTCCTGATTCTGTTTTAATTCTTGGTTTCCAACTCATTCGTAACTCGGTGTCATTCAGTGGATTACTTTTGTCTCAATAATTGGACTAACACAAGGTGTTATGAGAATATTATATAAAATATTTAAGCTTTTCTGTGACAAATGATGCATGAAACAGAAGTATGACTATAGATTTTACATGAGAGTCATCAAAAGTAAGGACAAAAATCACAAATTAAATTTGTTGCCATATAACAATTGCATGAAAGAATCTTTTCCAGGTCACAAGTCAGCCCCAGAAGAAGACATTTGCTCTGGAGTCTTTCACTTACTCTTTAGTTCAAACAGAACCTTCTATGTAGGAGGAGGATATGCAAATGAGCCTCTCCCTGCTATGATGAAAACAGCCCAGCCCAGCCTCAGCTCCAGGAGAGGCATCAGTTCAGGGGTTCCCAGGGGCTCCATCGTGACTCACACAGAACCAATATGGCGTGTGGTCTGAGCTGGCTTCTCCTGGTGGCTGTGCTTGGAGGTAACTCGTGGGCGACAGGGACACGGAGCGTGGGAAAGATGGGATAGGCAGATCCTCTGTGTAAGGAGACTTTCCTGACCAGGATGTCTTTGTGTTTGCAGGGGTTCGGTGTGAGGTGCAGTTGTTGGAGTCTGGGGGAGACTTGGTGAAGCCCGGGGGTTCCTTGACACTCTCCTGTGCAGCCTCTGGATTCAATTTTGGCAGATATTGGATGCACTGGGTCCGCCAGGCCCCAAGGAAGGGCCTAGAGTGGGTCTCACTCATTAATCCTCTTGGTACATATACAGAGTATGCCGACTCTGTGAAGGGCCGATTCACCATCTCCAGAGACAACAGCAAGAACACGCTTTCTCTACAAATGAGCCGCCTGAGGGAGGACGACACTGCCCTGTACTACTGTGCAACAGACACAGTGAGAGGAAGGCCGTGTGGGCCCAGACACAAACCACCTGCAGGAGGAAGCAGGGTGAGCTTCAGTGGCGCAGGCCCCCGAGAGGCTCTGAGGACTCTCCCCTGCGGAGACGTTGCTCATGAGCAGACAAATCATGTTTCTGTGGAAATCAGGCCTGTCCTGCCCCTCAGCTCTCAGATTACCCTTGTCTTGTGGGTTGTGGCCCAGTCTCCATCCCCGCGATGGGCAGTAACGACTTATCACACTCTCTCTTTCCTGATAAAAAGTTTCCAGTGACAGGAGATATGGTGCCGCCAGCAGGTCAATTTGTACCTGTGAGGCGAGTGTATCAGCAGCCTGATGCACCGTCAGACTTTCAGATACCCCAAAATTGCTGCTGTGCCTTTGGCTAGACCACAAAAACTTAGGGCAAAGTTTACCAAGAAAGTAAACAGCCAAACTTTACATATGTGGGAGACACACCCACAAACCACCTCTGGCTCAGCGATATAATTGGAGGAATGGCCTCTCTGGTTCCTGATTGAACTGCTTGATGGCCATGATCCCAGAGACTCAGAAGCGAATCTCAGAACCCAAAAGCTTTTGGCAGAAATGCGTCCTGTTCCTGCAGTAGGTTACTGTCGCTGGGCCACTCCAGATGGGAATAGGTTTTGGCCTGTCCCGCTTGGCTGCCTGGTGACTGTCATCCTCCAGAGGCAATTGGACAGACAGGTTTGGGCCTACAGTGACAAGACATGCCAGGCCTCACCAGACGGGGGTGGAACCGGCCCTTTCCTCCCCATCCCAGGATGGGGACATCCAGTGACAGAATCATGACTTCCATGGGGCCTGAGGGGCACATTATTCTCTCGTAGAAATTAAAATAACCCTGTAGAGATTATCATTGTCTCCTGGAAGAGTCATTTGGTCAGAAAGAGAAATTCTGGTGTCCACTCAGCTGTGTGCTGTCTCCTTCCTTCTGCTCTCAGACACACTCTGTGCCCACTCACCTCTACACTCTTACCTGCTCCCAGGTAGCCTCTCCCTGGTCACTCTACACCTGAGAGTCCTGTTATCCTAGACTGGCTGACCTCTGTCCTCCATCCACTCACTAAGTGGACATTCAGATTTCCCCAATCCTTCTCCACCCCCTCAGACATTGTAGAGGAAAGACCAGATCCTGTGACACAAGCTTTGCTGACCCCTTCACCTTGAGACAGGGGCAGGACCCAGAGCACCAATACTCTCCCTGAGGCCCCCTCTCCCGGTAACCCCGGATACACCACAGCTCAGAGCCCAGGGACCCTCCTTACACTGAGGCTCTGTACGGACACCATTGCAGATGTGACTCAATGATTTTCTCACTGTGGTTCCACTCAATTTCCGGTCTACCCTCCCAAGACAGAGAAACTTGGGGATTAGAATCTACTTTCTTCTCTCCCCTCACATGCTCACCCCCTGAAGCAACATTCCTGTTCTGGTGACTTTTCAAAGTCACCTCTTTAAAATCACAAGTTCACCATTAATTCTTCACTTAGGGAACTCGAAGAGTTTTAAAGGTTCAATATCAATAATAAAGACTAATGTTGAAGGTATATTTCTTTTTAGTAATTACACTATCAGTCATGATTACAAATGGCTAATAGAGAATAAAATTAATGGATACATTAAAATGTATGTGAAAAATCATTGTGAAATGAACAATCATTGTGAACAATGAACAATCATTGTGAATAATTGTACTATTCAAATGTGGACAACGTGTGTTTCTTTAGTTTTGGGGCCAACCCTAGGACTACACTGCGTTTAGTATTTGTCTGTGTTCTGGTCTCTCCTGTAGTGCTCAGGGATCAAGCTAGTGGTTCTGGAAAATGAACCTGTGCAAAGATGCTCCAATTCTTCGATCCTGTTGAAGTTGCTGTGAAAAATAAAATTTTAAAGTTTCTCTCATGCCAGGAGTGTCTAACAACGATAAAATATGAAATGAATGTTCTAGGTATGTTTTCTTTCAAATTTGTCTTCTTTTTACTGTCTCTAATACATTATTAATTATAAACCATAATTTTGGGGGGAGGGATCACACCTGACAATGTATAGGTGTTACTCCTGGCTCTGCACACTCAGGAATTACTCCTGGCGCTGCTCAGGGGAGCATATGGGATGCTGGGAACCGAACCCAGATTGGCCACTTGTAAGGCAAACACCTTACCCACTGTGCCATCACTCCAGCCCCGAAAACCATAATATTTTAATTATTCTACATCTGAAGGAGTGAAAGAGCCACAACATGAGTCAAGAAGGATAGTGAAAGAAAATATGTTTAATTTAATTAGGTGAAAATGAAACAAAAATTGTTAATTTAGAGTTAATACTTGTGTGTAAAACATTCATAATTTTGGTGTGTGATATATACATAGTACTGGTGTGTGAAATTTTTTGATTAATTTAATTAAGTGTCCTGTTGGTCTTGGTGCAGCAGCTTTAGGAAATATTCCCAATATTCCATAGGCACTCCAGGGTCCCTCCTGAGGTCAGGGGGCCCAGCTCCCCTGGAAACTGCTGACTTTGGAGAGTACAGAGATAGTGCATGTGGGTCAGATCTGTGACGATTCACTGTCATGGCCTGCAGGAGCTCTGGGACAGGACACCTGGGGACAGACACAGTGAGTCACTTGGTTATACACGAAAGTGTTTATGAATCCTGTAGCCACCTGTGGCGTGATATCATCCATCTCAATCGTCACGTTGCCCGAGGTGGTGTTTTTTTGTATCTGTGTCTAACCTAGCAGAATTTTGTAGACCCTGCTGGGTGTGTAGATTACTTTTGATCCTTAATGTTGACTTTTTATTTTATTTTATTTTATTTTTTAGAATTTTTTTAAATTTTTTTTATTTATTTATTGAATCACTGTGGGAAAGGTTACAAAGCTTTCAGGTTTATGTCTCAATCATGCAAATATCAAACACATTTCCCTTTACCAACACTTATTTTTTACCATGAAGAACCCCAATAAAACCCCACCCCCCACCCCTCCCCGTCCCTGTGAGGCAGATGAATTCTAGTTAACACTCTATCTGCTTTGATTAGATTCATTGTTTCAATAAAAGATTCACCACTATTATTTAGAGTTTACCCCCCCCCCCCAAATCAGACATGCTGAAAAAGCATTGTGAAGTGATTTTCTTTCTACGGCTGGGTTCAAGAATTAAATGTTGGTTTTGGGTTTCTGCTCTTTTACCTATTGACCCTGGAAGTATTTCTACTGAAAGTCAGATAGTTAAGAAATTGGTTTCTGTGTTCTGGAGTCGTGGCCGTGCTGGAGAGCCGCTCGCGGGGGGCAACCGGTGGCCTCGGTAGGGCGTGAAGGGCGGACCGAAACGCCCCCCTTCCCATGAGGTTTTAGTCGCCCCCACTACCCCGGCTCATACCTGCTGTCCACAAGGCTCCCATGTGGCCGCCATCTTTCTTTCCAGAGAGGAGAGGGCGAATGGGGCAACACCCTTTCCCCTCCGGCAGACTTGATGGCCTGGATCAATGCATAGTCCGTTCACTTTTCTGCTCCAAGCTGCTGGGTTCTGCATTAAGTCCTTGTGCTTCTGGGGCCGTGGCCGTGCTGGAGAGCCGCTCGCGGGGGGCAACTGGTGACCTCGGTAGGGCGTGAAGGACGGACCAGAACGCCCCCCTTCCCATGAGGTTTTAGTCGCCCCCACACCCCCGGCTCATACCTGCTGTCCACAAGGCTCCCATGTGGCCGCCATCTTTCTTTCCAGAGGGAGGAGGGCGGAAGGGAGCAACACCCTTTCCCCTCTGGGCAGAAATGATTGCCTGGATTAACGCATAGTCCTTTCACTTTTCTGCTCCAAGCTGCTGGGTTCTGCATTAGGTCATTGTGCTTCTGGGGCTGTGGCCGTGCTGGAGAGCCGCTCGTGGGGGCAACTGGTGGCCTCGGTATGTTGACTTTTTAAACATCAAATTATAGAGCATATTTTCTGGCCCCTTAGATTGAATTCAAAACTTGCATGCTCCATGGAATTATGGGGTACCTGTATGTTACCAACCTGTGTCTAGGTTCCATGAATTTGGGAGGGGGTGGAGGGCCACGCCTGGCACTGTTCAAGGCCAACACACGTGCGCCCTTGTAAAATGTGTGAGTCTGAGCACTAAGACAAGGTTCCAGGTGCAATTGTTTGTGGGTTGATGACTCCCTGAAAGCTCTTTTCAGGCACCTGATGGGTCTTCAATTCCTCAGTGATGACCCCAATAACAGGGTTCTTAGATTCACGATTATCTTATGGATACTGAGTTATATACAGGACAGAACAGGTTGAGGTGCTCCTGGCAAGGCCAATGGCACCAGGAAGGTCACTGTGTAAGGCCTTGTCCCTAAATATGGAGGGTCCCTAAATATGGAAGGTCCTTGTCCCTAAATAGACTCAGCACCAGTGAGAAAGAAAAGATTCACCCTAAGCACTGCCTTGAATCTTTAAGAGTGAAGCTTCTCTAGGAAAAGGGATTTTCATTAAAGGTATATGAGTTAAAAAAAAAAAAAACACTGTGAAATCCGATTGACATGGATTGGATTCAGCAAACTCAGAACTCACAGGGACAATAACATTGTCTGTTGTGTCCAAGATCTGCATTCACAGTGGGAGAACAGGAGCCACTACAAAGGGACACGCAAGGGCAGGGCCTTTCTACAGGGTAGAGACCCTGGGTGGGGGGAGAGAGCTGGGTTTGGCCATCAGAGACCTGAGACACAGGGACTCCCCTCTCCAGCTGCCATTTCCCCCTCAGCAATTCCTGTTTCCTGAGAGCTCCTCAGCACGTTTCCTGTGCTGGAAAAAGAGCCCCGGCTCCAACAAGGCCCCCAGGGACAGACCTGAGTACTCTGAGCCACAGTCAGCACCTCCTCCCAGGTCGCCCAACACCAGCCTCCTGTGGGTCCCCTCCTTTCTCTGCAAATCTGCACTGGGGACCCAGGATAAAAACCACGTTCACACTCGCCCTAACTCGCGCTCCCTCTCCCCCTGACACGGTGTCTGAGGTCATGGATCTCGTGGGCAGGAACGTGCATCAGCGCTGGTTCCTCCTCTTTCTGGTGCCAGCACCTGAATGGGATGTGAGTGTCCCCTGGACAGAAGCATGTGACCATCAGAAGGTGCTCTGCTTCCGGGACTGCAGGGCTGGTTCCATGAACAGGGGGAGAGGGGCCTGCAAGGGGGTCCCTTTCTTTACTGTACTGTTGAAAAATATAAAACAAAATTAATAAACCAAGTATATAAATTTCAGCCATCATTTCCTGTTTTAGTACAAATTTGTTCATTGCTCCTCCTGTCTCCCAGTGCACTAGAGATTGTTTGATCCTATTAGGTAATGTGTGGCCGATTTTTCTTTCTACTTAGATCTTTCCTTTCACAAAAAGGAGAGATTACTCCTGTTACCTTCTTTATTCTCACTGAGGGAACAAAACAACAGTAGTCTGAGTGTCGATGCTGAGTGTGGATCCCCGCAGACCCCCACACTCTGCCGTGACCCCTGTGCTCAGCCTTTTATTATTTTTTATAATAAAACGTACAAGAATCTTTTATTAAAATTGTTGAATTTTCATGTTTGCGGATAGTGAACATTTATTTCTGCTGTTAGATAATTTCAATTTATTGTGTTTATCAAAGATTTAAAGTATTTAAGTATTTAATTGCTAATTTCTCATTAATCTGAGCCCCCACCCGACTCCTCGCGGGAATCCCAGTGTGTGGTTAGGATGCAGGGGCTGTTATCATTGGATCCTGTCCATCCTGACGCTCTGTTCTCTGTGTACCACAGATGAATGAGAACATTCACATTTATCCTTCTCCCTGGCCTTAATAGAATCTGATATTTTTCAGTTTCATTCATATTTCAGAAAATGTAATAATTTTTTGCCTTTTCTTACAGCTGCATAGTGTTGCATTGTGTATTTTTCACTACAATTTTTTGTCTGTAGAATTTTCATTAAGAATTAGGGTAGAACTCTGGACGCAGAAACCAGCCGCCACCACCAGGCCCCCGGGCAGGGGCAGCTCCAGCATCTCCAGCCACTTCCTCAGGGAGCGCCAGTCCATGTAGTCGCTGGCCCCTCCAACAGATGCCTGTCATAAGCCAAAGAAAATGCCAGAGAAGATGCTCAGACCCTAGAAATAGAGAAGTGTGACCACCATAGACTGGCCCTATCCACAATCCTTTCCCACGATAAGAGTAAACAGTGCTAGTGAATTCAAGGGTTTTACCACTAGACTGGAGCGATAGCACAGCGGGTAGGGCGTTCGCCTTACAAGCGGCCAACATGGCCGACCCGAGTTCGATTCCTCCGCCCCTCTTGGAGAGCCTGGCAAGCTACCGAGAGTATTCGATATGCCAGACACAGTAACAACAAAGTCTCCAATGGAGACGTTACTGGGCCCGCTCGAGCAAATCGACGATCAACGGGAGGGCCTTTACTTACTTTACTTTATCACTAGACAAACAAAACAACATGAAGAAACAACGCAAATCTCCACTACAAGGTGAAGATGAAGAAAAGATCCCTGAATCCTCAGCCGGGGTGACCTACAAATATGCTCTCTCCAATAAAGAACTCCGAGACGAAATGCAGAGGATGTTCAAGGCCCTACTCAAAGAATCAATGGAAGAGATATCCAGAAAACTAAAAGAAGAAATGAAAGAAACAACAGAAAGGTTAGTCGAGAAAATACAGGAAGAATGAGAGCAGAAACAAAACTACACAAAGAAGTGTCACAGATAAAGGACTAGGTAGATGGAATTAAAAACTCAGTAAGTACCCTTAGCAATCGGATAAGTGCAGCTGAAGAGAGGATCAGTGAGCTTGAAGATGAGCAACAGAAATCCCATAGGAAAACACAAGCAATAGCAAAAGATCTCAAAATGTCTCTTAGGAGAATCAGAGACCTAGAGAATGATGTCAAGAGGAATAACATTAGAATCATTGGAGTACCAGAAGGGCAGGGAGGCAACCCCAATGAAAAGGCCACAGTGAAAGAAATCATCACTGAAAAGTTCCCAGAGTTAAAAAACTCAGACATACAGATCCAAGGAGCCAGAAGTGTGCCAGCAAAAGGAGACCCTAATAAAAACACTCCAAGGCATATCATAGTCAGAATGATGGATGCTGTGGACAGAGACACAATACTACAAGCAGCAAGGTCAAAGAAGGAAATCACATTCAAAGCAGCACCCCTTAGATTTACAGCAGACATATCAGAGGAAACCCTCCAAACCCGAAGGCAATGGTGGGATATAGTGAAAAAAACTCAATGAAATGAACTCCTCACCAAGAATACTTTATCCAGCTATACTCTCACTCAAACTCGATGGAACTATCTACACCATTTGTAGATAAACAACAGCTCAGAAACTTCATAGACTCAAAACCAAAACTAAAAAAGGGTTAAGGGGGCTCCTGTAGGATAAGAAGGAAAACACTTAGAAACACAACCAACCCCTACAGAAACATGGCACAAAATCCCATGACAACAATCTCTCTTAATGTCAACGGTCTAAATGCACCAATCAAGAGACACAGAGTGGCAAAATGGATCCAGAAACAGAAACCAATATTCCACTGTCTACAAGAAACTCATCTGAACAATCAGAGCAAAGACAGACTCAAAGTAAAAGGATGGAAAACAATCGTGCAAGCAAACAGCTCCCTCAAAATAGCTGGGGTGGCCATACTGGTATTCGACAACATTAATTTCACGTTGAAAAAGATTAGAAGGTACAGCGAAGGCCACTTTCTATTCATCAAGGGATACGTAAAACAGGAAGAAATTACACTCTTAAATGTATAGGCACCTAACGAGGGAACAGCTAACTACTTAAAACAACTGCTAACAGATTTTAAGGAGGACATTGCTAGCTGGAGTCTTCAACATCGCCCTATCACCTCTGGATAGATCCAACAAGAACAAAACTCAGCAAGGAAACATTGGCTTTGAAAGAAGAGATAGAAGAGAAAGGACTTATAGACCTATACAGGGCTTTACACCCCCAAAAGAAAGAATACACATTCTTCTCCAGTGCGCATGGAACATTTTCCAAAATAGACCATGTGCTAGGCCACAAAATATACCTCAGTAGAATCAGGAAGATAGAAATACTATCAACAATCTTTTCAGACCACTATGCACTGAGAATAGAAGTGAATCACACACAAACACGGAGAACCAAATCAAACACCTGAAAATTAAACAACTCAATGCTGAGCAATGAATGGGTCAGGAAAGAAGTCAAGGACAAAATCAAAAGATACCTGGAAACAAGTGACAATGAAGACACAAGCTACCAGAACTTATAGGATGCAGCGAAAGCTGTATTGAGGGGAAAATTTATAGTTCTGCAAGCATATCTCAGGACGGAAGAAAGAATGAACATAAAAAACTTGACTTCACAGCTCAAGATCTTAGAAAAGGATAAACAGAAGGAGCCCAAAGTAGGCAGAAGGAAAGATATCATAAAACTTAGAGCAGAAATCAACGGCATGGAAACCAAAGAAACAATCTGAAAGATCAATGAAACAAAGAGTTGGTTCTTAGAGAAAATAAATAAGATAGATAAACAACTAGCAACACTCACAAAGAAACAGAGAGAAACAACCCTAATAAACCGAATAAGAAATGAGAATGGGGATATCACAACAGAAACCAAAGAAATTCAAAAGATCATCAGAGGCAACTTCGAAAGTCTGTGTGCCACGGAACAAGAGAACCTAGAAGAAATGAATAAATTCCTGGATTTCTATAAGCTCCTGAAGCTGAATCGAGAATATATAGAGTACATGAATAGATCTATTAACATCAAGGAAATTGAAACTGTAATCAAAAGTCTTCCCAAAAACAAAAGCCCAGGTCCAGATGGAATCACTAGCGAATTTTTCCAAACATTTAAAGAGGACCTATTGCCAGTTCTTCTCAAGCTTTTCCAGGAAATTGAAAAAAAAACAAATTCTCCTAAATAGTTTCCATGAAGCCCATATCTCCCTAATATCAAAAGGAAACAAAGACACCACAAAAAAGAAAACTACAGGCTTATATCCCTGATGAACATTGATGCAAAGATTCTCAACAAAATACTAGCAAATAGAATCCAACTACTCATCAAAAAGATCATACACCATGACCAAGTGGGATTCATCCCGGGGATGCAAGGATGGTTTAACATTCGGAAATCAATCAACATAATCCATCATATCAACAAAAGAAAAGTTAAAAATCATATGATCATATCAATAGATGCAGAGAAAGCATTTGACAAGATCCACATCCGTTTATGATGAAAACCCTAGCCAAATTGGGGATAGAGGGGACTTTTCTCAATATATTTAAAGCCATCTATCATAAGCCTACAGCAAGCATCATCCTCAATGGGGAAAAAGTAAGAGCCTTCCCCTTAAGATCAGGAACGAAACAAGGATGCCCACTCTCTCCACTACTGTTCAATATAGTACTGGAAGTACTCGCAATAGTGATTAGGCAAGAAAAGGATATCAAGGGCATCCAAGTAGAAAAGGAAGAAATCAAGCTCTCACTATTCGCAGATGATATTATACTATACTTAGAGAAACCTAAAATCTCTACCAAGAAACTCCTAGAAACAATAGATCTGTATAGTAAAGTTGCAGGCTATAAAATTAATACCCAAAAGTCCGTGGTTTTCCTATATGCAAATAGTGAGAGTTAAGAAAACGACATGAAGAAAACAATTCCATTCACAACTGTGCCCCAGAAATTCAACTACCTAGGAATTAGCTTAACTAAAGAAGTAAAGGACCTGTACAAAGAAAACTACAAAACGCTGCTTCAGGAAATAAAAGAGGACACAAGGAAAAGGAAAAATATTCCCTGTTCATGAATCGGGAGAATTGACATTTTCAAAATGACAGTACTTCCCAAAGCACTGTACAAATTCAATGTGATCCCTATCAAAATACCCATGACATTCTCCAAAGAAATGGAGCAAACACTCCTGAAATTTATATGGAACAATAAGCCCCCTCGAATAATTAAAGAAGTTCTTGGGAAAAAGAAAATGGGAGGAATTAACCTCCCAAACCTCAAACTCTACTACAAAGCAATAATAATTAAATCAGCATGGTACTGGAACAAAGGCAGAGCTGCAGACCTATGGAACAGGGTTGAATATACTGACATATCCCCTCAAACATATGATCATCTAATCTTTGATAAAGGGGCAAGAAATGCAAAGTGGAGCAAGGAAAGCCTTTTTAATAAATAGTGCTGGCAAAACTGGACGACTACATGCAAAAAACTGGGCTTAGGTCTCTGCCTAACACCATGTACAAAAGTAAGATCAAAATGGATTAAAGACCTCAACATCAGACCGGAAACCATAAGGTACATTGAAGACAAAGTTGGCAAAACCCTCCATGACATTGAAGCTAATGGTATCTTCAAAGATGTCACGCCACTGGCCAAGCAAGTGAAATAGATAGACAAATGGGACTATCTTAAACTAAGAAGCTTCTGCACCTCAAAAGAAACAGTGACCAAAATACAAAGACAATCTACAGAATGGGAAAGGATATTCTCCAAATACACATCCGAAAAGGGGTTGATATCAAGGATATACAAAGTACTGGTTGAACTCCACATGAAGAAATCATCCAACCCCATCAAAAAGTGTGGCAACGAAATAATCAGAAACTTTCTCAAAGAAGAATTCCGAATGGCTAAAAGGCACATGAGAAAATGCTCTACATCATTAATAATCAGGGAGATGCAAATCAAAACAACAATGAGATATCATTTCACACCACAGTAACTGTCCCACATTCTAAAGAACAAAAGTGACCTGTGTTGGCGCAGATGTGGCGAGAAAGGGACCCTCCTTCACTGCTGGTGGGAATGCCGACTGGTTTAACCCTTTTGGAAAACAGTATGAATGACTCTCAAAAAATTAGAAATTGAGCTCCCATTTGACCAAGCAATACCACTCCTGGGAATATACCACGGAGAGACTAAAAAGTATAGTCGTAGTGACATCTGCTCTTGTTTGTTTATTGCAGCACTATTTACAATAGCTAGAATATG